GCAGGAAAACCTTACTTTTTAACCTAGAAAGCTCCTACGGTAGAGCTTGAGGCATCATGATTCCAAAATGAGGCAGGATCCACCTAAAGCAACTGAAAACACCTGCTGGGAAGCAACAGAAGCCTGAGTTCTACTTCCAGATACAAGTCTGGACCCTACAGTGTGATTTTGGTCAAATCATTTAACCTTGTGAACTTCAGCTTCCTAACCTACATAAAGCCCTGGGTTTGATCCCCAGCACTGCAATTAAGGGGAGACGGGAAGCAGTAGGGACAGTAGTCAGCACATGGCAGTTCGTCACATATGATAGCTATGCACACTGTCATCACCTGCTTATTGTTTTCTGCTTTACAAAGCTCAATCACATTCAAATGAAACTCTGAAAGTCTTGAATTAAGTAGCATCCCTTCAATCCTTTCCTATCTCAGAGCCTTAGTTTACAAACTCATATAATCTGTGAGATTGTGTTGTGGTGAATGGGACAGGCCACTAACGGCTAACATATTAGAAGAGACCCCTTACAGACCACAGAGGCAAGGCAATGTGTCCTAGAGCCTGGGGATAACAGATGAAACCATGGAGCCTATGGACAGAACCCCTGACCGCAAGTCCAGGGCTCTGCTTAACCTTTCCCAGTGCCAGTCAAGGGCTTCTGTACTTCAGACCTCCTACATCGCTCTCATTAACAATGTCTCACGGACATTTCATGCAAAGCCATTAAGCACTGTGAGTCCGAGAAGGAGCAACACAATCTTTTACATAAACTGGAATCACTTTAAAACCTACATGTAGGATACTCACATGAGCACAGGTTTCTAGTCTTTTTATATCAGTATTTATTTTTAACTTGGGATTTTAAGTTGACAAAGACTTTAATGAATACATAGGACAAAGGGAGCTGTCTGTCCACGGCTCATTAGTCCCTGAAGTTAATGCTTCTCATGGGGACAAGAGTCAGCCAAAGGACAAAGCTCTAGGCAAATTGGAAAGTGTTCCACCAGCCCACAGATCATGGAATATTGCCTGCCTCTGAGTGCCAAAGCTTACCGGATGTTCTGCAGATTTACTTCAGAGCCATCAACCAGCTAACTGTTCATTCTGTCACCCACCAGCATGACCTGCTGCTATCGGGTGTTCACTGTACTCCTGAGACATGAGTAACCCCATTTAATTCACAAAACTACCAACTAATAATGCACTCCATAGTCCATCTAGCCTAAGACCACTGGCTATAAGGCACACAGTTATGTTATGAACCAAAAAAGGAGCCATTTCCAATTACAAATGTAAGACCCCATAGCTATAAGATGCTTCAAAAAAAATTAAGACAGTATAAGCTGCATTTTCTTTCTTTTTTTTTTTTTTTTTTAAGGCTAGTCAAGTGAAACAGTGGGAGTGGAGAAGGAACAAAGAAATCTGTAACTGGTTGTGATCAATTAGTTGTAAACACCACTGCACTGGGACCAGCCAAGCTGCATTTTCTTAGCTTTTTTTTTTTTTTTTTTTGTCTCAGCATTCTGAAATGTGACTAGTGCCTCCACCTTATAAGGAAGCTGAGGTACAGAAATAAAGTATTTTATTTAAGGTCCTGTACTACCAGAGAAGCAGGACACCAGTTGCTCCCTTTTTTTCTAGCTCAGCATAAGAGTTCATTAACTTTAGCCACTCTGTGCATCTCTGAACCTGACCTTGATATGTCCACTCAAGTAGGTACTGTGCTAGACTGTCTCTCAGTGAGAGGAATTCGACTCCTCTCCCAGGAAAAATAATGTCTTAAAGTGGAAAAAAAGTACATTTTGGAATCAAAGTCCTAGATTGAAATGCCTACTCCACATCTGTTATGCCTTGTATCTAGATTTCCCCCCAAAGCTTCATGTGGTCACAAGGTGAGGCTTTTCACAGGTTACTGGTGTGATGCTGGGATTAAGTGTATATAACTACTAAATTTGTTCATTCAGAACTGGTATAGCTCTGAGTGTGGGCAATGTGTCCACCCTGATGTGAGTGCTACCCAGCTCCAGTGCAGGTGACATAGACAGAATGAATATAAGAGGCAGAAAGAGGGCTGCTCTTGGTGCTTGCCGCAGCTACCTTGCTGCTTTTGCTGCCTGCTGCATGCCATGAACTGTTTCTCCTCTGTGACGCCCCTCTGTCACACCGTCTTGCCCTACAGCCAGCCAACTAAGGACTCAAAAGTCTACAAATTGTCCTAAATAGTCCTTCCTTCTCTTAACTTGTGTCAGGTATTTTGTCTCAGCAACAATAAAAGACAACATCTAACCAGCTTGTCACTTGGCTAAATTACTGAACCATCCTAGGCCTCAGTTTCCTCTTTGACAAAGAAAAGCTAGCACCTCCGCCATCAGAGGTTGCTGTAGGCCTGGAGAGGACACAAAGGTAGGACATATCTGGCAGAGCTGGAATTCAACAAGGCAATCTTTTCTGTGCTAGTCACCTTTTGCCTTCAAACTAGTATTACCAGTGATCTCAACAATTCCCAAAGGGGGCATTTAGGAGATAATAGGATCAGACAGAAAAGACTGGACAGGATATCCTGGCAAAGAAAAGTGGCACCTGGAGGACCAGGACGATGTTTAAAAATTTTCCCAACTTGAATAAACAAATTGATAGGGTAAAAAGAACAGGCATTTACTATCAAAAGACACAGGCCAACAGACATAAGAATGAGTAGTTTTATATTGAACCTGACTGGTCCTTAAAAATTCAGTTTGTTATCAAAGTAGTATACAAAGGGAAGAATTTCTCCACTGCTCTATTTGTTTTGTGGTACAGGGATGGAATCCAGGGACTTCACACTGAGCCACAACCCCAGCCCTTTTTTATTTTCAGACAGGGTCTCTCTAAATTGCTACACTGCTCACACATGGGTCAAACTTGCAATTCTCCTGCCTCAGTCTCTCACAATGCTGGGATTATAGACATATGCCACTGCAGCTGGCTTGTTTTGTTTTTACATTAAGTAGTATTTCGTGCATTTCTCCCCTTCCTTTCCTCAAGAGCATCAGGAAGCAGGAGCTTCTGACTTAAAAGGAAGGCCAATCACGTGGCATATAGAAACAAACTCCTTTTTCCTCCATCATAATTCATTTCTGACATAGCAGATCCTCAATAAAAATTAGTTGAATAAATAGTGCTTTCTTAAGTCTAAGCAATTTTTCCTTGTCCCATGCTATCTAAAAGCCTAATATAGGGGCTAGGGATTTAGCTCAGCGGCATAAGCGCCTGCCTTGCAAGTCGTGAGTTCGATCCCTGGTACCGATAAAAACGAAAAAGACAAAAAAAAAAAAAAGCCTAATATTTTCCGTTTCTGCTCCAGAAGCATTCTAACAATATAATCTGTAATAAACAGTACGCTTGGCCTATGTTACATCTCCAATTTATCACACATTTTCCTCACTCTTCAAAGCTCCAACACTCAAACCAAGCCCCTCCACTTTCCCTTCCTCCTCTTCCATCCTAGTCCTTGGATTATCTGAGAGGAGTCAGTACCACCTTCCAATCTGAGCTAGTGTTTTACTAACCTTCCTCTCAGATATTGAGCCTTTTCCAGGAGATAAATAGGCAAACAAAGGCAGTTCATCAGAGTCCTCCATATCCCCTCTCCAAGTTTTCACCAACACTCCCAGAAGGGCTCATGTAATAATGCACAGCAAAAGCCTGATTCCATCCTCATCCCCTCAGGAGGCTTACAGTCCACTTCTGGAAGAATCTGAGAGTAACTGTAATAGTTTTATGGGTTGGTTAAGAGCTAACTGAAATGGCAGGTTCACTCTACCAGGAGATCAGCTTTCTGGCCCCTGTGTCAAGGAGCTCCAGAACTTCCAAACGGACCCCTCAACTCACACTACCCCAGGGTTCTGAGATCACCTGCCCATTTCTCCTCATTGTCATACAAACTTCATTTACTGTTGCCTTTCCAGAATACACCTGGCTCCTGAAACGACTGCTCTAAATCCTTAGGTAATAACCATCATAGTATAGAAAACGCTATTTCCTTCCAGTTCTTATGCAGATGGTGGTGTCACCCTGGAACCACAGCCATGAACAGGGCTCAACCTCTACCCCTGGGAAGCCCATGATCTTCTCAAAAAACGTAGTGACAAAGTATTCCAAGGCTCTGGAGAAAAAGCGAGGGTGGAAACAGACTTTGCCCTTACATTTGATGCCCTGTAACCATAACAACCGATGGTTTAAAGTAACCATCAACCCACTGTGGAGCTAAGTTTTCCAAAAAGCCGTTTTCGGTGAGGAAAACTCCCCTGCTCCAACTCCCGCGCCGGCACGCGCTCTGGCAGGTAGCGTGTGGCGCAATGGAGCTGGCAGTTCATTTCTGCTCCCGGACCTGGGATTTCACGTCTGGGCTCAGCAAGCAGCAGTCACTTCGGCTGCTACTGTCACCCTTGCGCTCCCCGCGGGCACCTGGTGTTAGGCCTTGGTCCAAAGTCACTTATTAACCTTTGGCGCGCCAACGCCTCCCCTCGAAGGCACACAAACTCGCGTTTGCCAAGAGTTGGAGAAAAACAAGCGAGACGTAGACAGCCCCTGACAGATTCGCGTAAAAAAAGAAAAATTTTAAAAAGTAGCTACGGTTCTCGACTTCCGAGCATTTCGCGACGTGGGCGAAAGGAGTGGCAGGAACGCGGGGCACACCATTCATAAAGTGCAAGCCACTTCACCCCAGCGTACTGGAGGTGCCGCCTCCTGCCCGGAGCCGGAGCCGAGCCCGGCGCCTCGAGACTGCAGACTGCCGACCCATAGGCACCTCCGGCCTCAGCCAAGCCTCAGCCGCCCGCCCCGGCTCCGAAGGAGCGAAGGGGCGCCGTGGACGCCCGGGCCACTACCGTACGCGACCGCCCCCCGCAGCGACAAGAGCTGTCGGACCTGCGGGTCCCCTGCACCTGTAGGCTCGGCCGGCCACATCCCGGGCCTTCTCCGCCGGGCGCTCTGTCCGCCGCCCCACCGGCCCCGCGCGCGCTCACCCCGGACTCTCTGGCTGCCTCATCGTACTGCGCTGGCGCCCATACTCCAGGGCCGCTGCGGCTCAAGCTCGGGTTCGGGCTCGGGCTCGGGCTCGGGCTCGGGCTCCGGCCGCTGCTGTGCAGCCCGCCCGCCCCCGGGCACCGGCCGCTCCGCCCCGTCAGCGGACCCGCCCCGCGCCCGCCGCCGCCGCCGCCAACCAGAGGGCGGCAGGGGCGGAACAAATTGCACGCCAGGCCTGATCAATCCAGCCCCTACCAAGAGCCCAGAGAGGCCGCGGAAATCGGAGGGCGATTCGTCAGGGCTTTTAAAGGGCCGCTGCCCTAGAGACTGAGCAGGTGCAGGGATCGGGTGTTACCTGAAGGGATCTCAAGAAAGCTAAGAACGTCTCTCAATAAGGCTACAACGCTTCCCGAAGCTCTTTGCATTTAATTTTCTCTTCCTGCTGCTTAATAACAGATGCTTCTGACTGAGAGGGACACTGAGGCTTCGACAATCGGTGATGTGTAGTTGACAAATTCACTCGAATTTAGGTTTTAGCTGTCAGACGTCTGTCCCCATTCAATAGCAAAAGTTGGGTTAAAAGGCAAATTCCCAGCCCCCAACCCCTTCACAGTGTCCAATCCTGAACCGATGTGTTGGTTAGTGCTCGTGAAACTACCTATTTTACAGAGGCAGTGTCTAAGGCCGACAGGGAAAGGAGGTGAATTCATACTTAGATTGAGCTTTCTGGAGTGGTCGTGGTAAATAACAGTTATCACCTGTGAAGCTGGGGCACATGAAGCTGAGACGGGGTGCTACAGGCCGGACTGGCACCTAACACTGGCACACAGCTAGTTGTCTAAGCCGTTGCAAACCAACATCTGAGCACTTCGTAGGATTTTAACAGGCAGATCTTTAAGTCTCACTCCAGAGTCCGCATTCGTTTTTAAAACCTACTTCCTGCCCTGTGATTTTGATGAGGGTGCTGCAAGGGCCACATTCAGGTGCATACTTTGAGTCCATCATCATCCTGAAATTCAAATTCGCCAGAAAAGAAAAAAAAAAAAAACTTTTATCCTCAGAATTAGTCATATGTTTGAGACTTTGCTAGCAAAGCTGGAGCGCAACTGTTGCAGGCAGCTGAGTTAGTTAGAAATATAGGCAGTCAGACAGGGCTGAGTCCTCAATGGACCCAGTACAGATACTTGTCAACTGCGGGGGGGGGGCGGGGGGGACACACGACACATACACCTCCTGCTGTGGGCCAGGCCTCAAGACAAAAGACTAAACAAATGCACCCATACCCTGAGGATTAATATTCTAAATAGTTCCCTGTCATCCTGAGGAAGCCTGGAGTCACCATCTCATCCTCCTAGGGAAGTCACTGCTCCTTAAAAATGCCCGCTTTCTACCTTACTAGCTTCCCCATTTGTCCCTAATATAATCAATTTTACGTGAACTATTGATCTTATTGGCTAACCATAGTTATGTCCCACCTTATGCCCATCTGCTTTATGAGTTCCCAGTCTTCCCCCACCTGAACCCATCTTGCCCCGTGATTCTGCTCTATAGAAGTCCCTAGAAAAGACAGAGTCCTTGGCAACCCACTTGGGATCCCTTCTGTTTCTCTCTCAGAAGTTTTCTTTCTCTCAATAAATATATTCTACTCTTTAACTCCATCTTTCCTAAAATTCATTTTTTGATTTTAGAGAACACAAACTCAAGGACATATTAGGTTGGGAGTCTCATTCTCCTATATCACTACTACAAAATTCCTGCATGGCGCTTGCAAGACTGAATTTAGAACGGCTCTGGACCTACAAGCAACAACTGAAAGACTTCAAGGATACAAAGTTGAGGCTTAGAACTTGGGGAAACCAAAGGCAATATATGAGTATCTCTTTTTTTTTCTTGAGACAAGTTTCTTGTTGTGTACCTACTTCAGGCTGGCCTTGAATTTGCATCGATCCTTCTGCTTCAGCCTCCCAAGTGCTGCAATTACAGGTGTGCACCTAACTTGCAATACATAAAGATCTTAATTCAAACATCCACTTGCTTACCCTCAGCAGTGGCTCAGTTGTAATCCCAGGAGGACACACTGCCCCTTTGGGAAGGCATCCCATGCTTTCAAGCTCATATTGTCACCACCTGGCCCAGTGTCTTTGACACCAGTGTGACCCAGAAATCACTACCTGAATTTGGAAGTTAATCCCCTCAAGCTTCACTTATTTCTACACAGATGGCCAGCTTTTAGAGCATCTTCTATGGGATAACCTTTTTCTTTCTTTCTTTCTTTTTCTTTTTATTTTTTTTTACTGTGATATCTCATTGGTCTTGGGTTTGACAGGTGGAGACTCTGGGTTGCAGACATCATTACCCAGGATTACTACTTGCCCCTTGTATACCTCCCAAAAGAAAATGAATTCTTAGGTTGGTGTGATGGCGCATGCCTGCAATTTCAGTAATGGGGCGGTTGAAGCAGCAGGATCACCATGAGTTCAAGACCAGCCTAGGCTACCTAGTGAATTCAAAGCCAGCCTGAATGACGTAGTGAGACCCTGTCCCAAAAAGAAAAAAAATCAATGCATCGTTGGTAGACCCTCAATCTAGGGGCAATAAGATTCAGCATGAACACTTAAAAAGAGCCCTTCTTTTTGCAAAGGGGGAACTTGGGATGTTTTGAAAAGTAAATGAACATATAATAACATAATATTAATACTAATAAGATACTATTACACTCTAGGTTCAATGCACATCCTGATATTAAGTCTATCGCTCTGTCAAGTCCTTCACACATATTAATTCATTGAAACCTTCAAATGATCTTGTGTGATTGGTATTGTCTCATTTTTACAGATATAGAATTTGAAGCTCACAGGGGATTGGTGATGTACTGAAGCAGCAGGGCTAAAGTTGAGCCAGCTTTCATGACACTAAGGACCAAGTTCCTCCTAATTGCTCTGCTCCAGTGCCTGCCAAAATGCCATCCTGCAGCCAGAAACAGAACGATAATTTCAAAAGGTAAAAGAAACATATACTACTAATCCACATCAAAAGGAAATATGGGAGTACAACCTTGAAGTTTAAGTGTCTTTGTTCTAGTTTACCTTCTGCTTGAGCTTGATTTGAACAAGTTATATAATTAAATCTCTCAATCCCATGTTGCTTGTCTATAAAATGGAACAATAACAAAACCTCTCTGTTCTTGGACTGGCCTGAAAAGCAAATTAACTGAAGAAGCTACGCATCTATACAGAGTCCCCAACTTACAGTAGTTCAATTAATGTTTTTTCGATTCATCAATGCAATTGGTGTTTGGTAGAAACTATACTTTGAATTTTGATCTTTTCTTGGGCAAGCAATATGCAGTATGGTGCTCTCAGTGCACGGCAGTGACAGGGAGCCTCAGCTCTCAGCCACATGATCACAGGGGAAACAATCAATACGCGATAGTGCCCTTTTGTGGCTAAGCTCTGATGGGCAGGAGGCTGGGTGTATGAAATGCATTTTTAACTGACAGTGTCAATTGACAAAGACTTAGCATAACCTCATCATAAGTCAAGAGGCATATGTAGGTGTACTTTGAACTTACAAATGAAAGAATGATTTTAGAGCTTGGGAATCTGTGATTTATTTTAGTGACCTATGACAAAGGTCAAGGACTATGGTGCCAAAAATTCAGATATTAAGCAAGATTTTTTACTTTGTACTCTAAATACCTGCTATATGTGAATAGCACATACATAGGGAACTAATAGTTTCCACCTACAGTAGGATCTTAAGTCATAGAAATCCAACCCAAAATATGTCTCTGGCTTCTCCCTCACCCTATTTTCTACCACCACCCAGGCTTTTTTTTTTTTTTTTTGGTACTGGGGATCAAACACCCCAGACTTTTTTACAACTCAGGCTTCAACTATCCCTAAAGTCTATGTAGGTTCTGATATCCTGGAATTTTTCCCAGTTACACATTTCAAGATAATCCTTATTATGACTCTCAAAACAAAAATGCCCTAGAGTTTTTATTTGTTTTTTGTTGTTGTTTTGTTTTGTTGAGATAGGGTTTCATTGTGCAGTTCAGGCTGGCCTCAAACTTGTGGCAATCCTGCTTTGGCCCCCTGAGTGCTGGGACTACAGGCACACACTACCACACCCAGCTGCTGAGGATTTTTAATTCCATTTTGGCACTGGTTTTGCACTTTTTGAGGGAGAAATGGTTTAGAAGTATAGAAAAAAAAAAGTTGATCCACTTGTGCATCCAACGAAGGGTAGGGATCCTTCGTCCCACATGTCGCACCATTAATCAGCAATCGGTGAGCACTCAGGAACTGAGGTAAAGATGAAAACACTCATGGCTGTGCCCAGGCGTACCTGGCACACCAGGTCAAGCAGAGAAAGCCCAACCATGTGATAGTGTAGAAACAGGCCCAGGAGCTATGGGGATAAGAATAGGCCCTTATAATTCCTGTTGAACCTCAATAATGTTTTAAGGATGGTTAGATGGGAGGTATTAAGATCTATAAAGGTCATTTAAAAAAAAAAACAATGTTGGAGGAGTGTCAGGGATTTAGTTCAATGGCACAGTGCCTGCCTGGCAAGCGTGAGGTCCTGAGTTTGATTCTCAGAACCCACACCCCAAAATGTTGGAGTAGAGAATGGTCAACAGCAGCATATGTCTCAGGACAGTCAAGTCAGAAAGAATCTAAGGATATAATTTCTTGTAAGTTAGAAATTAGAAAGTTATTGGATCGTTGGTAGAAGCAATGTAGTCAGGGATGGAAACTCATAGCTGGCTTGGAACCGAGCTAAAAAGAGCTAAAAAAAAAAACAGAGGATGAGGAGGCTGAGCAGAAGAGGACAAGTACAGTACAGTACAGTACTGTACAGACAGTACCCTGTAGGAAGAGGCTCTGCTCTTCCTCTGAGATAAGGAGGATATGGTAAGGAGGTAAGGAGTGATGTGGGTGCTGATTCACTCATGGATGGAGGGCAGGAAGTGGAGAAAGCTCCTGTCTACTTGGTTCCTGGTTTGTAATCCATAGATAGGAAGGAACATCATCTCTCGGGCATGGGTGCAAAAGTGATAACCAGGGTACGTTGTGGGAAACAGTGAAGGACTGAAAAGACCACTGATAGGAATGAAAGAGGGAGGTGCCAGTGGAGAGGGAG